ATCCCGCGATATTCACCCAGCTTCGTTGGTCAAGGTTGGTGATATCGGGGCTTGACCCCCTGCTGTAAATAAGATAGCAAATTCAAGCGAATCCCTGTGACTCCAAGGATCTCCAAGGGTTACACACACATATACTGTATATGTATAGTATTATATATATATATCTATCAAGCAAACGGCAAACTAGACTGCAAACAACAATAGATAGGATAGGAGACCAAGCTGGATTTCCACCAAATGCAGGAGCTGGGTAGATCCATATTTCGAAGAGGAGCCTGGATTTGACACATGTTTACACAGTAGTGCGCAGGGAGGCACATGAAACTGAATGATGCTATGGCCATGGCCATGGCCATGCAACAACCTTTTAGGAGTACTGGTGCTCGTCAAGAATCCGTGCCTCCTAAATGCAATCCCAGGCTACAAAAACACGCCATCTTCTTTGCGCAAAGGTTCATGAGGGCAGTGATGAGGATATCAGGCAACTAAACCTACCACCATAACACTAATTTATTAAGCACCATCAATCTGACTGGCATGTCAGGGATTTCTTCATACTAGAATGGCTAAATTGAATTCCCAAATTGCAGCCTTTGACAAAAGACTCACATGTTTTTGTCAAGGTACGTAAAGCATCAGCAAACTCCACAGTGGTTTTTTCCAGATCACAACAATTGCACTGGCCCCACGCCATTGCTCGATGCAGAATGAGCACTTCAGCCGGAACCTCTGTTTCAGCTTTTTCCCAATCTTACCCCAGACTTAGAGCTGCCTCAATTGCCAAGAACCAATATTGTAAATCAGCATGCTAAGCGTTCAAGGTTCATTTTGGAATTGCACAAAACAAGGTGGGCCCCCAACAACTTAACAAAGTCCCAATTCACCTTCTTCAATCCTTTGCTGGCAGGCCAGCGGGCCGACTTGCTAAACCTGAGAGGCGGCCAAACGGGACGCGCACAAAGAAGCCGCTGTCGCTCTATTCATGTCAGGAATCCCAATCTGGCTTAGCACCATCACATCTGAAAGTGCCTTTCTATCTATCTATCTACCTATAGTCTATATTTATGTATTTATCAAATATGCCCTGACTGGGCTGTGAGATGGAGCTGTGGTCCAAACCCTGAACATGGCGCCCGTGCCCCTCTACTGGGCATTCCCTCCCTTTTCTGCGGCCATGATGCCTTCCGAAGGGCTACTGTGTTCCAAGCACCCCACTGAGAGATGCATTAATATTACTAATATATATCTATATATATCTATCTCTCTCTCTATATATATATGTGTGATGTCCTATTTTTGAATGTTTTGGCGCACCCGTTTGCACCTGCCATGCGACGATCGCCGCCGTTTTCACCTCGGCTCAGGGGTGGCTGTTCCACCGCTGCCGCGCAAACGAAATGCATGCGCGGAGCAATGACAAAATGCTAGGCAAGATTGGTCACATGTTAAACCAGTCACTGCATGAAAAACCCACCTATACGCACGCGCTTCCCGCACCTGAATCCAAGCACAGCAGCCTTGCGGAACGCCGCCAGGTCCATGGAGAGGCCAAACTTGCGGCCCAAAATGGAAACCCTCGTGTGAGCCAAAGGAGCGGCACATTGACGCAAAGAAAGCACATGAAATCGACCAAATTCCGCCATTCGACACGAACATGCGAAACGAACACTCTTTTCACCTTGTTCAAGCGATTTCTTGAGGGTGGTTGGCGGGTGTGACAGCGTAGCTCGTGCTCCTAGTAGAAGCTGGGAACAGGGCACTTGAACAGCTCACTCTGATGTTCAAAAATGCCTCTGAAGAAAACAGAAGTCTTGGAGAGAGAAGGACCCCACGAAGGATGGCTCAGCAAGTGTTTACGAAAGTCGAGCTTCCAGTCTTTGCGATCCTGCGCTGTTGGGCACCATGGTGTTCCCATGCCCAGGTGTTCCCATGGTGTTCCAACGTGTGCCCGGTGAACATCATGAACAGCCCCAGCTTGAAAAGGAACATGTTCCACACAACTTGGGGGAGAAAAGCAAAAAGCTGAGGTGCATTGCACAGTGGAAGCCTCAAAGAGGCGTCTTGAACTCACGAACTCGAAAAGTCGAAGCCTACACTCTTTCTTTCTTGCCACGATCCGGGAGGACTTAGTGATTCAATTTACACATCTAGTCTAGTTCTTATCGTGAAGCACATTCATTCGACAAATGTCGCTTCGAACCAGCCAGTTCCAGTTACCTAGCCCGTCCCATCTCCTTGAAGGTCGCATGATGGGTCTTTGCCAGCCACAACTGCGAATCTTTGACCTGGTGCCAAAATGCGCCAAGCACAAAGAACAACCACCCATGACCATCCTCACCTGGCTACTGGCACCAGGCGGCACTCTGCTTGGTAGTCTGAAGTGGTAAATGGGAATAATGTTCATCCGTCTGATTGATTTTTAGGGAATACCTAGTCGGCAATCAGTCTCAATCTTGAGCTCATATCACAGACTAGTGGCCATCTCCTTCGTGAGGCTGTCCAGGATATCAGCTGGAGCCACCAAAGCATCCCCATGACCATGGCCCAAAATAAAATGCGCCATGCATCGAAGAGTCTGAGCCTGAGGAATGCTGCCCGAAATGTGTGTGTGGAAGATTTACGTGGTGTGGGGCGGGGTCGACCGGGCATCCAGCATGTCGTGGACGACCTAAACATTTGCAAGACCACTGCTCGTAACAATGTCAAGTGTTTGTCAAGCAAGAACTGTTAAACATGCTAAACCATGTTGCACACTGTGACACCCTTGCATCCTTGGACCAGCAATAAGTGTCTGGATTCGCCGGTGTATGTCTGTGGGACCGGCTGCCGCGCACGATGGCACAAGACTATACCTAGCGCTTCCAAGGGGTTACCAATGGAGACCTGTAAGTAGTGTGGAGATATCCATTGGTGACCCCTTGGAAGCAGCTGGTACAGTACATGTTGGAGTTTCCAAGGCTAATCAAAGGCGATACACTCTGATGAACACATCACATGAAAGATCATGAAAGTGGACACCACCCTCGTCTTCCAACAGGCCCATGGCATTTGGTTTCGGGGTTTTTCTCGCTTCTTTTGAGCCAAGTGTCGACGTGTGGCTGCCGGAAATGCTCAGGCGAGAGATGCAGCACTCGGGAGTCATTGCTCAAGAGCTCGGTGTTTCGCAACATTGCTTGGATGGAAGAGTGGGATCTGCCGTACTCCAGTTCCAATGCTTCCGGCACAGAAGCATTGCCGATCTTCTGCAAGAGTGTCAAGTACCCGCACCGGTAGCCGCAACGACGAAACAAGTCGTGCCAGACCGTGTGGGAACAACCATGGCATCCCAAGCCATGAAAGGCGGCAAAGTGAGGGTTTTCTCGAAGGGCCCGGCGTGAATGAAAGCGGAAGGCGCTGGCGGCCAATTCGGCGGGATCCCGGATCAAGTGAACCACTCGTCCGCGGTACAAGCTTGGTAATGGGTAGGGCCGCTTCGATCTGCTGATCAGTCCACGAATGAAGTGCAATGGAGGGATGAACCTTGGCACCGCATATGTATTATTGCCCATGCATGACACCAAACAAACTGCCCGCTGCAGCAAGACTAACATAGACTACACTCCTGCACTTACATGTGGAAGCCAAGAGGATACACAAACAAAACAAACACATGGAACTTGCAAACACACAGTTCCTGCTCTCATGTTCGGCTATCATGTCGGGACACCTACAGAAAGCAGCGACCACGATTTAACATGGACCTGGACGGAAAATGTCCCCAAAACGCACGCATCATGTTTTGTGTAATCCACTAATATGGTCCATCATGGTTCTACCAACATGGATGCCAAAACAAAGCTTACTCTGTTTCCGGCCAAAGCTTCTCTCCCATGGTCACAACGATGGGAGAGATTGGCCGCTGCAGCATGTCCCAACCATCTGGTGGCGTCCAGTTCCAAAGTTCCTCCTTCATCAAACATGCCACATGTGTTTGGACTCAAAGCTAGCAGTGCCCAAAAGCATCCAAAAGCTCAATCAATGCAAGGCTCACACTAGTGTCTCGGTAGCACGGAACCCCCCCCTATATACAAGATTCTTGGCTCAAACTCCAACTTGAAGGGGGTTGCAAGTCCTTGTCCAGAAGATTCGGCAGCCCTGCTGAGCAAAAAGCCACTGCAAGGAAAACAGTTGGACAAAGCACAACAGCGGAATGGAACATCATGGGCAGAAGGTGATCGGCTAGCAATGCTTCAGGAGTTACATACCCAATGGAATTGATTATATTGAAATTCATCTGATAAGCCCCTCGTTCAATTCATCTCGAGATGTGACACAAGCTTCCCAGTGGGCGTCGGGGGCACCGAACCATCCGTGTTGATCATTTCCATCTGAAACCTTCAGATTTGGGCATCTTTTGAGCGTGTCTTGAGATATTTTCGGGACCTTAGGGCTTAAGCCACTGACTACGCGAGACATCGCGAGACTCCTGTCGCTTGCAGGACCCTTTTTCAAGCCGCTCGGTTGGTCTCACAGTGCGGGCAAAGCGCCCTCACTCCGTGGGCAGCTCCCACTCGTCATCATCGATGGCCTGCTGCAGGGAACCAGGTTTCTGGCCATCCACCGTGCAGCCCACCGCAAAGCAGGTGCCGAGGATCTCCTGAATCGCAAAAGCGGGTGCCGGTGGGTGGCGTGTCCCAAACGCACAGGCAGCGGGTTAGTCAAAAAACAAGATGGAATCCGCGAACCCGAATGCAAACACATTCGAAAAGCTACATATGTCCAAATGACACTCTTGTAGGACATTCTTGTGGGACACTCTTGTGGGTCACTGTTTCGTTCGAGACTTCCTCCAAAAGTGAAGCGCCAAGTCTCCAAAACGAGCGTTTCGTACGAGACTTCCTCCAAAAGTCAAGCGGGAACACCCATCACAATTATCGGAGCACACACATCACGCAGCCCTGCCAAGCAGTTTCGCGATTCCAGCTCCAAACAACACCCGCCCACACGCCAATCCCAATGTCACAGCGACATGCACCTCTACCACAACTCACAACCTCACGACTCCCTGCGCCTGCCACGAATCTTTCCGCGTCCACACGTCTAACGCGCATAAAGTACTGCGCTTGCCACGAAATGTCACCTCCGTCACACCTAACCTCACGATTCCCTGCGCCTGCCACGAAAATCGCACTTCCACACCTCAAAGCCCGCACAAAGTACTGCGCCTGCCACAAAAAGTGACAATATCATCTCACGCGAGCTTCAAAAAGCAAAATTTGCACCACACCACACGTTTGGAATGATTTCGACCCGTTCTGAGCACACTCCCATCCACCAAAATCACCACTTCAGCTGAGACTTGTCACGAAAACAGAGCTTCGTTGCCACACTCTGAAACGCAAACCCCAATGGCACGGCCACGTCCAACACCCCAAAAACACGACTCTCCAAACGCTAATCCTAATGGAAGTGCGCAGCAAACTGCGGATCTCACAAAACGCTGCGCCTGCGCAGTGAAATCATCCTCCACACTTCAACATCTTACATTTCCACACGATTCCTCGCTATTTCACACGAATCTGACACGTCACGTTTTCATCCGAAACCCTCTCCAAAAGCTTCCCCCAATGGCAGCGCCTTAGCGCTCTACTGCGAACGGTTGCGGACGGTTGTGAACATACATACAGAAACAACGGGTCGCGAACAAGGCTCTACCCCCAGACCCCCAGAGTTAAACGAGAACCCTTCGCTACGCATTCGAAAATAATAGGATATTCCTGTCTCTGGAGATCAGGGAAAGTAAGTAGAACATATCAGACAATAAAGGTCGTTGAGGAGGTGTGCATATACTGCGTTGTTTGGTTTCTGACAATTCAGCATCGAGCTGCTAGGCACCACACTAAGGACGCCAAGCTGCTTTGGCTGTTCCCTTGAACTCTTTTGCCAGGCTCTTCTTGCGCATCTGTCGCACAATGTCCAAGAACACATTCTTGGTCAGGTTGCCGGTGTGCCTCAAGCACTTGTCACAAGCGGAACATGATGAAATCACTCACGGCCATTGGAAAAGATCAAAATTCCACAAATGCAATCACAGCGTCATCAAACACATTCAAAGGATCTGAGCGGAGTGCCCTATGCCAACGGAAAGGTAGCCAGTAGCTACTGCGCAGTTCTGGATTCGATGTGTGGTGATTTGTGATTGCCGTGTTGTGCTGGTGCATAGCGGCTTAGCGTGGTGAAGAGATGTGAAGAGTATTTTACATAGTCTTGGCATATAGATGTGATTTTTTTGAAATATATTGAAATATACACGTGTGATCAATGTGTGTGTTTGTGTTCTCTCATCCACCAAACCCATCTCTACTATATATTCTGTACTTCTCTAGACTTTAGACATGTCCAACAAGGAAGGATATTAAACTTACAATGCGCGCTGTGAAACCAGAGTAAACAAATCCCCGTACACCTTTGGCCACTGCAACTCAGCACCGGACCAAAGTCAAGTGGCCCTTTCTATGCGTTCGAAACCAGGATTTTGTTTCCAGCGTAACTATAGTAACAGCGGTGCTATTTATCACCAGAATACTTCAACATCCTACAAGGACTGGAAGCGCCCGCACGCGCACACACACACATATATATTTAGACACACGCACGCACAAATACATTCCGCAGCCATCCCTGCAACAGTCAGCACCCACTCACTTCTCCCATCCTGGTTGCATTAGCACCTGACTTACACCAAACAAAGACGCAACGGGTTTGCAGTTTCTGATGATTCATTGTCCTTTGCCCAGGGTGCTTGATGTTCTTGGTCTTCTTCCTGTCTCGCAATGGCTCCTTCAAAGCCTTGATGATCAAACTAGTGGCATTGGGCTCAACGTCCACTTTGGCCTGTCGGTTCTGAATCGTCAGCTTCACAGTGACTCGGATGCCCTTCCTGGGAACAAACCCCGCTGCTTGGCGCGCAATCTTGCATGTGTGTTCAAAGCATCTTGCACAGCCACTGAACATCACTGCGATCGGGTCACTTGAGTCACTTGGGTCGTTTTGGATGCGACCAAAATCCCCAAAAAAAAAACAAACCAAACTAAAACGGTGCAACTTCCGCTTACCACTTCCGGTGTCCATTGGCTGGTGCCCTTCACGATGTCATCGCCCACCTTCTTGGGTGACATGCCCAAGGGGCCGACCTTCGGCGCCAACACCGAGGACGGCGCCTGCTCACCGCCGTACTGTCCTGAAGCGAAAGGGAAACGACGCCGGCCGGACAGCCCACGCATGGCCGGACAGACATTCCGGACCGGTGACCGGTAGAAAGAGTTCAACTGACCCTGAAATTTCAGGCTCAGTCTGTGGAAGTTCGACCATGAGCGAAACAAACAAAAGGCAGAACCTAGTCAAATACTGTCCCACCAAGTGTCTGAGAAAGACCACCTTCACCTCATTTGGGTCAAACTTCGGCGCCATCTTTTCTCTTCGCAGGATCCGGGACAACACCGCAGCGGCTGGAAACCCTTGAGCCCAAATTCATCCATATGCAAACGTTGAATGCTGCTGTGGTTGTGGCATCGAAACGGTAGGTCTCACTAAAAAGACTCAGGGGATCTAAACTGCAAGGGGATCAATGGCCAAGTGGCGAGTTGGAAGTCTCTGGGTTCGGCAGGGTGAGTACAACAAAAATTGGATTCAGGGTCGACGCTACACAATGTCACAATCAGCACGCAAGCAAAGCAGTCTCCTTGTGCATCACCCCGCTCATCGTTTCTGGTGCAGGTTGGTCAATCGTGGCATAGTCCGCAGGGACTTCTGCAATGGGAGCTAGGTGACCTTGGATAGCTAGGTGTTCCCTGATTCAGCATCTCAGCAAATGATGACTTCTTTGTCTTCAGCGGTATTCAAGACCTTCAACTCAATCAGCGGGGGAGACATGGGACAATTCGAAGCCAACTTGGACCTCACACTGTGCAGTTCAGTTGGCGCTGCTGAATTCTAAGCAAAACCACTGATCACTGATCCGACTTTGAAGATGGTTGGTCAAGTGGCCAAAAATGACAAGCTGCATGAAATGCTGCTGCTACATGCTGCTACACTTGTCATGCGATGCGATGATGTTGCGCGATGCATCATGCGTTGTCTGAAGTGCTCTGCCTCTCTCTTCTGCGCCCAGGAGCGCCCAGGAGCTGCGTTCCATTTCGCTGAAAGCAACGGTGAATGGATCCCAGCCTTAGATCCCGGAACGCTCGCGTTTTTATGCCTACCTGTGGGGTTGTGGGGGATTTACATTGGTGATCCTGGATCACAGTAGCCTTGAGGCTACAATTGGCTTTGATACCCGCCCTTCTGACCTTGACTTCGCCCCCCCTTTTCGGCAAACTCATCCATCACTCATTCTTTGCATTGCCGCCTGGTTCCGGATCTTGCCTGCCACATGCAGGTTTTCCAATCCTTCCACTTCCATTCTTGTATAAACTCCGAGACACCAACATGGAAGTGGAAAAGCTGTTGCTTGCAAAGCCTTCCCAGGGGCAATATTCCAGTTCCATGTGCTGCCAAAAGCTTGGCATTGCTGCCAAATGGCGCTTGAACCCAGCAGCACTTTAGCAAGGCTTGACCGCAAGAAGCGCAGCAACCAGTTTCCAGTCTTGTGATATGCTAAAAAGTATAGCCCACAGCGATCTCCTTTCCTGCGTTGACAATCACACAAATCCCAAAGTGTTGACAATCACACAAAACCCAAAAGTTGCCAAATCGCGCATCAACCTGTTTAGCAAGCCAGTGTCCTTTCATTTCTTTCATGCAAATGTCCATGCTTTCAGTTGTTGGGGGACTCCAAGGCGGATGGTCACCCGGACCGGGGTCCGCAAAATACAAGAGAAAACAGGACGAAAAGGACGGACGGTTCCCTTGGGTTCTCTTCGGTTCCCTAGGGTTCCTTATTGAAGGGGCCTTTAAAAAACTCAAGACCTTCCTATCCCGTCCTTTTCTTCCTTTTCTCTTGTATTTGGTTTCTCCCCTCCTTGGCAGGCCTGATCGGCCAGCATGGGCGGTCTTGCGGGAATCCCAGGCTTGGCTTCTCGTCGATTTGAAGACGCAAACGGAGATCTGGGATTCGTCGACGCGAGCGTCCGACGCGTCCCTTCCAGAAGACCGGATCACAACAAAGGTGCCACCAACGTGAGGGTTCCTTCTCTTGCCTTGGCTTGGGAACCGACTGCGAGTGTACAACAAATGCTTATTGTTGGCAATGTGGTCTCGGAATAAGACATGCATGCGGCAGGGAGGTTCTTGAGAAACAAGAATCAACCTGGACAATGATCAGCACTATTCTGGATAAACTGGATAGCTGCCAGCTATGGAAGGTCCTATCAGCAAGTGGAATGGTAAAGTTCGCCTGACCCTTGTTTCTTGGGGCCAAAGAAGTCCAGTGGCGCCGCCATCCAAGTTAAACGTGCTCAAATTCTAATCCTGTCACCTGTCCAAGCTGCCAACACAGAGCGTCGCCATCGATCCCATACCTAAGAGGGCGGTTCACCAGCTGATAATATGACAATATGATAATATAGACGTCAACAGCACACAGCACACAGAAAGACCATCTCTGAGTCCCCCACAGGTCCCGCTGGCAGCACCGCTTCTTGGAGTGCAAAGGAGCTCCCACACCATGTGCCTCATGGGCGCATTGCTGCGAACCATTGCCGGATCAAGAAAGGGTACGCATGGAATGACATGAGAGTAGTCTCGGCAAGACTAGAACCAACAATATATCATCTAACTTATCATATAAGTTAATAACGACAATATGTGTATATAATATAATATATATATATATATATTGAGCCCCTACAGCATGTTTGCTGATGAACGGAAAAGAGTTGATGATCCATTGTGTATGTATATATATATATATGTGTGTGTGTGTGTTGGTGCGTGTATTTAAATCGGTATACCGTACCGTGCATACACATTTACATTTAGGATTATGTATATATCTGCACACACATACATACATACAGACAGACAAACAAACAAACAAACAAGCAAACGTTACGTACATACAGACATACAAACATACAAACATACACACAAGACAACACAACACAACACAACACATCACATGCACACACTCAAATTATAGTATAAATAGGCTCTATTTTCTTTTCCCTCCGGAGTGTTTTCATCCTGATTCTCTCCGAGTGACGAAGCATCGCTGCGCAACTGCTGCGCGCCATGCTGCTTTTGGCCTTCTCCTTTGCCAGTCCTTGGTGTGCGCAGGGCCAAAGCAGAATGGGCCTAAATTTGTCCAAATTGGGGGGATGGAATCAGGTTACCCTAGTGAAGGGGGTGGCGACCATGGTCGAAAAATTTTGCTCAGCAAATGCGGACATTCTAAGAGCTGCTTGCTCCACCGCCAGGCCCTTGCTGTCAAACTCTGGCAAGTTCCAGTGCAGCGCATGGCTTGCGTGCATGGCTGCGGCAAACTGTCAGAGTGGCACAGAACATAGGGAAGTTTGAGGGTCACCCCAAATCCAAGTGGATCCAATGCAAGAAGAAGCTATGCGCACCATGTCTACCCTCTATACTATACCCGCAAGCATGGAGCCACGTCCTTGGCTTCCATTCCATAAGCCCGTGTTCAGTTCTGCACATGATGAGTGACGTGATCTGGATTCGACAGCTTCAGATTCCGGGCGCGTAAAGCTTGAGCTTGGGACGAGGGCCCTGCACTTACAGCAAAATGGGCACAACCCAAGGTGCCCCCTCCAAAGCGTTAGATGGCTGAATGAATGTGTTTGCTGTTCACACTTACTCTTGAATCAATTTAAGCTTTGGGCACCTGAGGTGGTACTGTGACAAACTTGGTATTTTTGATTGTTGTTGGGAAGTTTCCTTGCGCTGCAGCTGTAGCACAATCTTGTTCGACATCCAGCACCTTTTTTGGGTATTGCAACCAACATCTCACGACTCATTGCTCTGTGTATGAATGTGATGGCTGCGGTTCCTTTGAGAAGGCGAACGCATCACACCTTACGTTCCAGAGTAGACGCATCAACTCCAAACCGGACATGGGGGTACCTATGAGCCGTTGCGTGGTGTGTGTGTGTGTCAACATGTGTCAACCTGAGACCGCTGAGGGAAAGCCAAGGCACTTCGAGCATCTTCGGGCTGACTTGATTTGTCCCCTTGTTGGCACTTGGCTCCCAAACCAGTGCTGACAAGGCTGAAGCCCTTCACCCCTTCAGCCTGACATTGCTCGAGCCAACATCAGCCGGGCGTTAACGAGTTAATTAAAGGGTCTTGAGGCAATCTGTCTACTCAAACGGCGGAAGGAGCCTTGCACTAGAAAGCGGCCCAACCAGCCACGACATCCTTGGAACTCACCCGTCCAACAACGAGACTTGCCTGCAGAAGCTTCACAAGTCTTTCTTGGTACTCCGAAGCAGACTCCTGTCAACGGAGCAGCCTCGAAGACATCCAACCCAACGTTTTGCTGGTTTGATTTCGGGCAAGTCAAGACTGGACAGCAATTAACAGCCATTAACAAAAACACACGACATAGCTTTCTCACACTCATCACCCTATGGTTGATGGAAGGAACCTTGCACCGCTTTGGCACACACACACACAACTCATTGACACCTGACACACCGGCACCCCTATTCAATATGGTCACGTCATGCAGGCGGAGCCGGCTTTCTTCGTCAGACCTTTGCGGGTTTTGATGACGGATGAGACAGTCTTAAAAGCACGAGGGTTTGATGTATCATCCTCACAAAAAACCTGCAAGATTTCTTCCGTCAAACGGTGGGGGCGGTACTTCCGCCAATATCAAAATTTGTGAAACGCCAACGGTGCTTATGTTCACAGTATGTTCACTGCTTTGGCCCCGGAAGTGTGCACGATGCTCAGCTCATGTGTGGCCGGCGTCGGCCCAATGGCCTGCCAGCCTTTGGCCGTGTTGGGTGCAACGAACTGCTCCTGAAATCAGGTTCGGCTTCAAACAATGATGCAACAATACACCACCACCACCACCACCACCACCACGACAACGACAACGACAACGACAGCTCCAAATTGGCAAGTTGCCCACCATTTTCCAGGTTTTGACGCAAACAAATCACGTGAGACACATGCAACAAAAGTGGCAATGGATAGGATTGGTCCATCACTACATAAGCTACCGGTACCGCAAACACTAACCAAAATCTGTGACGAAACATGTGAAAAGGAACAATCGCTCCTCAGAGAGGGTGATTCCTCTCTTTTGAAGAGTCTTCACAAGACTCTCCCGAACCTCAAGCGTTCCACAAATGTGGTCGGGACTGGACAACGGAGGGTTGCTGGGCACTGAATCAAATCAGGCGTGAAAATAAGATTCCGAACTGAAAGTTCATGGACAGCGACTGGACATGCGACTGCACATGCGTTATGCTAGTTGCTAGGGTAGCTCAAACCAGAAGTCCCAAGTTCCCCACCAGAGTTGCATTGCAATCCTCCTCCTGCTCGAAGCCGTATCGCCTTGGATTTCTGGAAAAAATTCCCAGACCCCAAACTGACCATCTCCAGTGTTCACATGCTGGTGGTAGCCAGGAAGACCAGCCCTCCATTTTGGGAGTCCAAAACCTGGTCAAGGAGCTCGTCCAGCAGAATGATCCGCACCCGGCTCCAATCCTCAGCAAGGTCTTCTCTTGAAGGTTCAAAGCTCTCTCCACTCCATTCCACTCCCACAGCTCACAAGGCACAAAGAAGCCACCATTCAATCTTAAGAGCCTCGAAGATCTAAAGACTCAAGGCACTGGGTTTCGGGATGCTCTAAGTCAGTGGAACCATGTGGAACCTACCCTATAGAATCTATACTATATTGAATCTATTATATACATGTATGTTACAATACCTGTGAGGGAGTCTTGCTTGCCAAGACATAAAATGCGTGGTGTGACCCTAGATTCTCTATATTTTGCGAGGACCAACCCTCAGGAACCCTATAAAATTCAACCATGAAGTCCAAGGTGCCTCCTCACAAAAAACTGCTGTGCGAACATAATTTTTCTATAAACTGCCGAGATGCCGAGGACTGACCCCCTAAAAGAATTGCATAAAACGAACATGTGTTCAAACAAGAGAGAGAGAGAGAGAGAGAGAAAGAGAGCACATTCCGCCTGGTTTTTTGTGCAGCTAAGACGTGCTAAGACTGCATCAAATTCAAGCAGTCCAAAACCTCTTCAACACAAATCAGAGTTTGTCGTGAGATGTAGTGGGTTACTATGGATTATAGCAAATTACTCAACAGAAAAGTCAAGAGAACACAGGCTTGTCAAATGTTTGCCCACATTCCTTAGTAGAGGGCAAGCCTGGTGGCCAAAACAAAGAGGCAACACTGGGGCACACCCCAGCTCCACCCGATCTCGGACTCGGCACGATCTCCTGCTCGGTCCACTCGGCTATCGCACTGTACACCTGGCATTCTGGTCGAATTCCAGTCGGTTTCCCGAGTGGCTAACCATGTTGAACTCTAACGCAGCTGTTCCTCGTGGAGCTGCCATAATACTAAATGCATATCGCATATATAATATCATATATATATATATGTGTGTGTGTGTGACGTGTGAGCACTGGAATTGCGTTTAGCAAAGCTGCTCGCCACTTTGAAGTAGTCACCGCTCACTCGAAACCGCCTCCCTTTTGGACAATGATCCGCTAGTTACTTTCATGCGAAGCAAGCACAACAAACTATATACCATTATATACCAGTAACCAGCCAAAAATTGAAACAAAGACCGCTATGGCCATGCCATTCTGCTGTGCACGTGTTGCTCCATCCTCGGACAGTGTGGCATGTGGCAACCTGCGTTTTTATTCGCCATGGCGGTTGGAGGCACCTCTCGCGCGCGACTTCGACGCGCTAAGCCATTCCTCAGCTTTCTTCAAGCTCATCGAAGAAGAAAGAGCTTCTACATGCTTTTGCAAACATATTAAACTTCCCGACATCCTTTCCTGCGAAGGAAAGGTGGGAGTCTCCAAATCGCATGTGACACTTGCTTCACTGAATCATTGCAATTTTGCGTGCCATGTTTATGTATATATTATCGGTATTTATCGGTCCCATTTGCAGTATGTGCAACTTCTTAGCGATTGGGAGGACTTACAGTACTCGGAATATTGTGTGTAGCCTTGACATGCCTTGACATGCCCCCCCCAACAATGCTTCAAGGATAAGCGCCAAAGCTTTCATTGATCATCAGGACCATCAACGTGACTCCAACTGGCTTGAAAAATCTCTAGCACACTTCCTTGCTTGGGCCTCCAGCGTAGGTGACAAGCCAAGCAGAAACTTGGAGGAAGAAGACTTCTGGTGCCTGGTGCAATCGGAGGAGCGGCCGGTCTGCAACCGCTTAACGTAGACTCTTGATGAATAACACAGCCATAGGAAGAGGCTTTAGAATCCAAATGGGGAGGCTTATTCATCAAGCTGCATTACACAGCAAACATCAGCAGACTGACTGCACCGGAGCCTGTGACCGGTGCGTGCACCATCATGCTCAGGGACTTCTCAACCGAGTACTGACAGTCACAACAAGCGAGTCCGCCTGATGATGCAGCCGCAAATGTGTCGAGCTGCCTTTTCTTGCAAGTCCTTCAGCCACTTCAGTCAACTGTCGAGTTCGGCCATGATGTTCTTGTTGCTCTGGTTGGGTTGCTTGCTTATTGGTTGGTGCTTTGTTTGTCAAGAATCCTGTGCCTGTACAGGGCAACGGTACCCCACAGTTGTCTGCTTGGCACTCCGAAATGCAATCCTGGTGACTGCGCGTCCGTACGCAAATAATACCATACTCAATGGACACACAAGCAAAACCAGTGCAAGTGCAGGTGCCAGCCAAAACAAGTGCAGAAATGGGGGTCCTGCTCGGTATATGCAATGATGCGCTCACCCATGGCGCTGGCGACAGTGAATGAAGGAGGATCGGGTCAGAGTCAAGCCTGCAATGTGATCTCCCCAATAGGCTTGAGATGGTGCCGTGAGCATTTCATTGTCAGACACTGTCGCCACACTGCAGCACAAAAAACGGCAGCGTGGCCTGCTGCCACACTAGTGTTCTCTACTGCTGACTGTTTGCTTCTGAGTGTCTCCGTGTTGTCTTGCTCTCATGACTTACTTGGAGGATTTGCAGGATATATAATGAATGGTGCTGCATAGTCCAATGCCAGTAGACACATCCCTAACTATGATGACCGGAAAGGTCTGCAGAAACAAGTCAAATCAAACGTGCTGGCCCCCACCGCCCTGTACATGCTCACGTGATGACCCTCCGTCCAGCTGCCACAGGATGTATCCAGCGCACCCATCTACACTGCTACACAAACATGAGCCCTTGACTCAATTGTTTTTTAATGGGAACTCAAGCGGTGGGAGCTATGCAAAGCACGTCATGCCAAAGCTTCCTCGGTGAGTCTTTTTCTCTATCCACGTCTCATCCTGTCTTCCTTGATGGCATCCTGAAGGAAGGAAGGAAGGAAGGAAGGAAGGAAGGAGAGACCCAAGGTGGTAGAGCTGATTGATGAGGTGCTTCTATCAGGTGATAAAGATTGGCTGCTTTAGGTATTAGGTCGCTTGACTCAAGCTCCAGAGGGAGGGAAAGTGTCCAACAGAAGGATTTAACATGGGGCTGATGCCAAAAGGTCTGTTTTGAGGAATTAGAGAACAAAGGCCAATGTCCCACGATGGCCGGCTCCAGTCCATCGCAAAGAAGAGGTCGTCAGTGAGGGTGGTGTCCTGACTAACTGCGACGGTGAGGGTTGCAGTGCAACTGTAGCCTCCCGACAGTCAATGCAAACCACCAGTGTATGGTAAGCTAGGAGCTGCTGATTTTGCAAGTGCTGTTTTGTGGTCATTTATGTTTTCTTTTTTTTCTGACTTTAGGTCCCCCAGTGGTCTCTAAGTGCACGTGTGCTTCTGCAAGGTGGCCCCGACAACAAAAAAGCAATTGTCTTTTTTTGGAATGATGAGGAATCCTTCTGCACAGCACAGGTTGGCCCCTCAAAGAAACCTTTTTGTGACAACTGGGACCTGGGACTTTTGGTCACCCCGTGTCCAGCATGTTGAAGGTTTGCACCGAGTTCAGCTCCAAGCAATAGACCGTGTTATTGCTCTTGCTGCGCCTCTTAGGCCTTCCAATCGTGGCGTGAATGTGAATGTGAACGCAGGTGAAGTCTGCACCTACAGCTTTGCACCCTAAAGCTCAATCAAAAATAAGTCCCACGTTGTCACACTCCGATGCTCTCTGCAATTCTTGTAGCTTGCTGAAGCCGTGTCCAGTTCCTACGTCTCCTCCAGTCTCAATTCTCGACGTTTCTGAGCAGCCCGGCTCGATTTGCCTGTGATTTCGGACGACAGGATTGAACCCAACATGCTAAGTGCACTTGCCCTCGATCTGTTGCTATCTGGCCAGTGCTAGCCATGGACCAATGGAGGTCGGTGGCAAGGTGTGGCAAGGTTTGGCAAAGGGTATCCCGAGTCACAAGGTGAACAAAAGGTAAACCATGCGAATTGTGCCGCCTACCAGAACCCCAAAAGCTCAAACCATGCAACAGGCACGTCACATTCTCCTTGTTTAGCTGCCCTCTTCGTTCCTTATTCGACGTGTCGCCTGGGATCCCATACGGCTTTTAGGCTTATACGAGGCCAAAAGCGATGATACGGACGCTGTGAGCCCCCTCTTTGAAAAGCAACGGCTCGTCAACCAGGGCTGGGTGCATGTGTGTGGGCACGAGGGTGATTTGCCCTTCTGCGGGTGTTTTGCCCTGCTGGTTTGCCTTTTTCCTGCTCCGATCGGGGCAGGTTCGCACAAACACAGAAGCGCATGTTGGGGTGGGTGGGATTGGGATGGATGATAACGCTCCACTTGCCTAGCCTGGCCTGGATATGATTGAATATTATGGACAATGTTGGCATGTCCACAGTAAGAGGGGACGTGAGGTGGAGTGTGGTCTGCACCTTCTCGCACATGCATTTGGCTCTTGGCATGGAGGTCGCATTACTACATCAGCAAGGCAAGAAAGGAGGTGCAAGCAGGAAATCGATGCAAATCTTGCAGCACATGTCCCCATAGAGTACAGCTGCTGATCAGAACCACTTTATCACTTCCATTCACCTCCTTTGACTTTTTGTTCCATGATGTTCCATGACGCAGTTGTGAACCAAAGTTCTGGTGGCCAAAGCTCAACCATGCTGCTCAACCATAGGCCGAAGCGACCATCACTGACTGGACATTCACCCTGAGATCGCCCCAATTCCGGTCGTAGGGTGAAGCGGGTCATCCTCTTGGACTCTGTGCTATTACAAGTCAAGCATCAATGAGATTTGGCCCACTGAGATGCACATGGAATCGTGTCCCACATGGCAAGGGTGCGAGTGTTCTGGACAGGCGGATGGGACACATCATGACTCCACTCGCCTGGAACTTATGGCTGTCTTCCTGGGAGCCTGAGCGAGCCCCAACTCAAACGGAAGCAGAATTAGGATAATTAGGGGCGCTGCATGTACCCTCCCTCCCATAAAAGCTGTGGCCAGGGCCTCCGGGCCTACGCTCCACCTCCATAGTGGTTTCAGGGAACGCGATTAGTGTATCTAAGCGTATCTCAAATACATCGGCTCTGGTGGGCAACGTGCCACGCTTGAACCCGAGGAGAATTGATTGCATCAAACCTGGACAGCTTGGCTCTCCAGAAGCACGTTCTCCGCTCTCAGAGTCCCAAAGTCACCTCTGCGGTCATTTGCCCTGCCTGACTGCTGTAGCCAAAGGTCATGGCCTCTCCTGTGACAGAATCCATGTTGTTACCTTTTGGTTTGCGCATCCCTTGATATGACCAAAAAAGGTCGCCCAACTTCAAATTGCAGGGCCATGTATTTGCCAGACTTGGACAGTCAGCCAGTGACATGTTCCCAGCCTGTGCCGTCTGGAAGTAGAGCCTGGGAGTCTAGGCTGGAGACGGAACGACTGACGTGGACAAGTCAGATGAGAACATGGAAGTGGATGGCTCTGATGGCACCCCTACGTTTTTAAAGGGAAAGTCATCTTCTGGGGGACCATGCCAGCCACTTCCATGTTAGTGAGTGAGAGTGTATACTTGCAATCATTAGCACCATCGGTCTGTTTGGAATGTCAACAGTACTCCACAAGAATGATAGGCCGGTCTGTCTTGGAGCCTGAAACTCAGCACAACAGTTCACCAGGTCACCGGCAAATGCCTCCTCTTTCAGACACTGTGCTTCGGCCTGGAGGTCGCTTTCGCTCGCTGGGCGGGATTGAGTCTTTCTAGACGTGCATCTTGTACAGCCTGGGCAAAGACCCCCTGATCGCCCCACTTGTGAGCACTTCTGAAGCCAGTGGCAGAGTTGTGTAGCAACAAAACTGCACTCGTTGCGCCCAAACCCACAGTGCCTGCCAGGTTCCATGAAGGTCATTCTCCTTGTGACCCGGCCAATGTGGCAATGCGTGGCCCTTCAAAAACTCATGTCCATGCACTCCATCCAGGGTAACTAAGTGGTGGTGGCTTGGTTACGCTGGGGTGCTGAGGCTTAAAGCATCTCTCAATTGCGACACAGTCTGAATCTCAACTGTGTGTGGTCTGGTGTGCACCCCATTAGAAGGGTCAAACGATAACAATATCCGATAACAATCACAACTTTGCACACTTTCCTACATAAAAGGCTCTCTCCAGACTATTCAAATCACACCTGTCACCGAATCAAACAATTATATATATATATATGTAATAGGATATAATTGGCATGACAATGTGCTTATAATATGAATCACCCTGTAGTGTTGTACCATCCGTCTTGCCGTCAGCCGTGTTCCTCTCTCATTTTCAAACTGCCCCTAGCCTTGGCACACCGTTACCTACCTTTTTGGGGTCGCATGGCACGTCGCCAAAAATTTTGGCACTCTGGGATGATTTACGAGCTGCACAAACTATTGGGCAAAACCGCAAAGCTGCTGCAAAGCTATCGCGGGAGAGGCAGCCTTCACTTGCTCACAGCAGCGCCTCGACCACCACACAAAGGAGTATGTATTCCGAAGATGATCACACATGTCAAACGATGTGGCATGTCGAAACAGCCTGCAATGGTCTAAAACCGGACCCTGGCTGCAGCCTCTGCATGCCTTTCACGTGTTTGGGGTGGCATTTGGGGATCAGCTGGACCTCTGAGAGGAGTTCTGACCTAGTCCAAACACTCTGAATCTTCCACGGTTCCAGTTGACCGACAAAGACGACATTTCAACGTGCTTGGGCGATCGGGCAGGGCTCTGTGAGGATCCATAGAAAAGTTCCGACGGAGATCGGATTTCAAGAAACAGCCTGAGCTGCTGGACACGAGCGTCGCACCGTAGATGGACATCTGTTGTGGCCCTAACTCAAAATGTTTACATGTGCGATTTCACAGTGCTTGATGATGTTTGATGCCTGAGGCTGCCTGAGGCATGCAAAACACGCATCCATCAAATCAAAACCGATCCAAGGAAAGCACGGCCCAACTTCAACAGCAAAGCACACCTGGAGAGATGTCAGGCTTGGCAAAAGCGCAGGCAATTGTTATTGGGGATGATTGGGGTATGTGTCTGATATAGCCTAGCATCTCCAGGAACGTTTCAAGCCTCTGTCTTACATCGTCTGACCATAGCTGCGAATCATGCCACACAAAAACGCAAACGGGCCCTCCTGGACATGAGGCTGTCCTCTTAAAGTAGTGTGCCACCCTGCCACCCCACCCTCAACATTGCAGGTTTGAAGCCAGCCTTGGATCTCTGAAAATATCATTGTATATAATCTCTTCCTGCCTGCTGGGTCCAGCATGTTCGACAGGAACAGGACGCAGCACGTCCATCCTCAGTGCGAGACGAGGACTGCGTCACACATTGTGACGAAGGACTCATCACACATTGAAGAACAATGCCCCCAAGAGTTATTTTGCGGCCGGCATTGCGCTCTGAGCGTGTCTGACAAGAAATGGTGCCACAGGATATAGGAAAATGCAGGTGTCAAGCCTGCTCTCTACGGTGAAAATGTTGTCCCCTTGGATGAGGAACGATCAAACCCAGCTCTTAGTAGACCTCCACATGGTAACGGTCAGCCTTCTTCATTGCTTTTGCAAACTCAGTCCAAACCAAGCCGTTCTTCTCAGCAATGGGGCCGAAGCACTCGGCCATGCCGCTCTCCATGCCCTTCAGTCCGCACATGTAAACATGGGTCTTCTCATCTTGCATCAGTTCCCACAGCTCCTCAGCATACTCGGCCATCTTGGTTTGAATGTACATCTTCTGTCCAGCAGCATTCTTCTGCTCCCGGCTCACGGCATAGTCGTAGCGGAACTGGTCTGGGAACGCTTTTGTGTATGCCTGGTGTTCATCATCATAGAGCAAAGACTTGGAATATGGCACTCCCATGAAAAGCCAAGCAATACCCTTGAACTTGCGGCCACCATCAGAGCTGGCACCCGCCTTGTCGTGGAACAGCAGCCTGAGGTAGGATCGCATCGGTGCGATACCTGTTCCGGTGGCCAACATGATAATGTTGGCCTCAGGGTCGGTGGGCAACAGCATCTCAGCTCCCGTGGGGCCTGTGATCAAGACCTCATCTCCAGGGGTCATGTCACAGATGTGGTTGGAGCAAACTCCACGGTAGACCTTGTTGTCTGGGTATGCTGTTCCAGCCTTGTCCGGCTTGTCCTGGCCCTTCTCTCGGTTGGCATGGGTCCCATCGACCTCCACCACTCGCTTCACGCACAAGGAGACCTAAGATGGAGTGGAACAAAACGGGCAACGGAGCGCACGCGCAAACATGCACCGCATTCCAAAGGATGTGCAGTAGCTTGAAATCAAACACTGATTTGAGGAGGCGCAACGGTGCGAAGATGACACATTTTTGTGTTAGGCATGCGGCAGTAAAGCTACTCGATTTATGCTCGATGATGGCTGCGCCTCCTTGAGATGAGCAACGATCAAACAAGAACACGCGAGGGAAGATGCGAGGGGAAAACAGGTGGGCTCAGCTTTGAGGACAGTGGAAGCACATGGCCGAAATGTTTGTTCGAGCCACTGGCTCGTACGAAATGGTGAAAACGAGGACGATGGCGTTGGCGACGGTAAGGGTGATGACATGATGACAAACAAGATGAATCCGAACAATGAAATCCTTTACGTCCCTTTACGATGTCACCATGCGCATCCATCCGCAAATACTGCCACCAAACATATACACACTTAATATCACTTATATAATCATCTTTAAGAACATTTTCCCCTGTCCCGGTTGCAAAAACATTGCACGATGTGCTACTCGCATTGATTCATTGGTCTGCCTCAGCTGCTGCATAAGAATGGCACCATGCTTGCCCCGTGGACTTATGCAACTATACGACTATACCTACTTGCAAGAGAATACTTAGCCACTCAAAGCTATGAAACTTCCGATTCTCGTAGACTCGTAGAGTCCGTTTTTGACACTTCTTCCAGAAGTACCCACCGGCTCCAGGGAGTCAACAAAAGAAACATGACTTCCCCCCCTCCTGCCCGAACCCCAAAACAAACACACAAACACAAACAAGCTCAGAACTCGCGTAAGCGTTTCGTCCATTGGGTTTGTAGAGATTTTAGGTACGAACCGAAACGCAAAACTCCGATGGGCACTGACAGCCAAAAGAAACGACACATAGGCACATAGGACCTCAATGAATGGGTAAGCTGATAAGTCACGCTCCAAGCAAGTGGTTCTTGGTCACTGCCTCTTTCTGTGGTCACCTTCCTGTTCCATTCATTGGCTTTCTGTTGCCGCCTTTTTGGAGGCTGGAGTCCCTTTTCCTCTTTTCCTGTAGTAGAATAGGTAGATCCTGTCGATAATCAATGCCCAAACCCCTGTAATTACTAGCAGCGGACCCACGCGTCCCTCTGTGACGCCAAAATGCAGTCTTGGAAGTCTGATCATCACCAACTGCTGAAGAGGCAATCGAGTAGAGACGGATTTTGGCCGGTTGCTCGCCTTACATTCCATGTCCAAGCAGCATTGCTTAACCATACAACTGGACCACTGGATTCTGCAGGAACCTGAATGACTTGAAACAATTGGCCAATCCCAACAATACTGAACAATATCCAATGCTTGGATCGGATCCACTCAGTCACTAAGACTTGGATCCAATTCTATCAACTCGAAATATCATCAAACTGATTGGCTCCTAGTGGCCCTTCTTGTCGGGCCCTGGTGCGATGACCCCGATCGACTGGCCCTCAATGTAGGGCACTTTGCCTCCGTGGTCAAAGGTCACATGAGTGGTCTCCCAATTGGCATCACCTGTGGGCTGGGTCAGCGTTTGAGGATGAAAGTCATTCTCAACGACCTTGCCCTGGTACGGCGCCTTTGGGGAGAAGAGATTCCAGGGAATCTCCTGGGTCAGGGCAGTGTCGCTGGATTCACCGGCTCATAGTTAAAGACCCTAAGGCCCTATAAGCTTTCAATTTCATGGCAGTGGTACCCATTAATTACATTGATTGATAGGTGTGTGGCATAAATTGAGACTCAGCATGACTCAGCCCTTGGGACTCCTTTCCATGCACCACTTTCACACCCTTCTTCTTCACAGCAGCTGCGCGGCAGCTGGTGGCGCCCGCTTTCCTTCCGGCAGCTGCTGCCATCGCGACACCTGCCAAGCTTGCCAACGCAGCTGTTCCTGCCAGGCCAGCACTGCTTCCCTGGGCACCGGCATCGACAGGAGAGGCTCCTCGCAAAGCCGGGGCCGTCGAAGGGCGAGTCGAGCCTGGCGCGATGAAAGCAGTGCCAGCAGCACCAAGCAACGCTGCGACCGCGGTGGACTGCGCCATGGAGTAGGAGGACGTGTCGAGGAGTAGAGGTAAGCGAAAACTGGGCCAAACTCTGCAGTCGTCAGCGGCTTGTGTGACTTCATGCTGCAAAGAGTTGAACGTAAACGGTGTGAACACGGCAGAGTGGTTCAAGTGCTCGGGTTGGGCAAGCATGTGGGGTTGTCGTGGTGTTTTTTTAAAATATCCTTGCTTGCATATTGCAGCTACACGCTGCTGTGCAGGATGCTGATCGTGGTGGCAAATCCTCGCAAGCAACCCGCTCAGAACCGAATGACGCTCCTGAGCCGGATGCGCCCACTCATAGTTGCGGACAGCCTGGCATTTATTGTCATTTGACAAGCATGCAGCGTGACCATCCTCCGCGCTTTACTTGAGCAATGTCCTCATCTTAGCACATGTTAGCACCCTACCCCAACATGCCCAGCAAGCAGCTCATGCGGCATTCAATCGGCATCTCAATGCGTGAACTGACCGAAATGGTCGGGTGATGGTCGGGTGTCCAGCTCGCTCAACGACCCCGTCTCGGTCCGCCTGGGTGAAGTGGCTTTCACTGAAGCAACGGTCCCCGGCCAGACGGAGCTCCCAGGCCTCGGACGGGCTTCAGCCATCTTCAGCCCAGGTCTAAACAAGAAAACCCATGGCTCTTGAAACCCACCAAATCTGAGTAGATGAAGTAATGAATTTTTCTCCGGAGAAAAACATGATATAATTTCATTACTCAATCCAGGTTTGGGGAATGGAGGAACGATCTCCCTTTTTTCTCTGAGATTCCTGGAGGGGTCCAGCCACCCTCATTCCTTGCTAAGCACCAGTCAGAATGCCTCAAGTGCCCACACTTTGGTAGATCGTTGTCAAAGAGGTTTCTCCATGTGTCTTTATGCATGGCCTGGTGTGATACGTCCTGGAATTCAACTGGAGTGCAGTACTGCTGGTCTTGCAGTGGGTTGCGGTTCCCGGAATAATGCGTTTCGAAATGTTTCGAATTGATGAGATCCGAAACTTCCTGATTGCTTTGTGCTCTAGGGTGGGCACTTTGTTCCAAAAGTGCCTCTGCATGCCTTTGCCAGGTATGTAAAGCCTCCTTGAATCCAGGATTGGTGTGGGGTGTATATCGTCTTAAATGTCTACTGCAAGGCATCCTGACTCAGTCTTTCTTCCTACATGTTCTCCGCACCTTTCCATGTGTGTCATGATCCCATTGGCCTTCTCAGTAAGCTGGAGAGTGCTTGCATCCATGCGAGCCTTGGATGGATTCGTCAAACTAAGGCTGGGCTGATGCTGCCTGCTCCATCTGGCACATGCTGATGGTAATAACAAGAAGTCAAGTCTTCTTGTGACCCTTTTTTTGCCATGAGCACTGAGCTGATCCATAAAGCTGCTGCACGATGCACAACTCCAAAGAATGCTGGTCGTCTGCAAAATCAATGGGTGCTCAAAGTCCACTGGCCTCGGTCCTTGGCAGTGGCGCGGCCTAGCGGCAACAGGTGAACTGCGTAAAGGTCAGGCCATGTCAGGCCTGATCTAAATGTTGGGGTCTTGAGGCTCAAGCCCCATGAGCCGTGAGACTTGAAAGTGCACATCGATTTCAGCTTTGAACTGTGGCCGTTGATTGGACGTGGAAGCCATGGGAACTCCCATTAAACCTTTCTGGGACTCTCTCCAGCTGTCCTTCAACATGCTCAAGCCTATCGAAGTGTCCAACATGCCTGGTGTCCTTTTCGGGTTTGCCAGCGACGTTTTCGCGCACCTCTTGCTGTGCTTTCACTCGGACAGACCAGTCCTGGGTGAGACGGGTTGACAGCAAACATCCTAATGTAGACTTAATACAACACACCATGTGGAGATGTAGAACTATTAATCAAGTCTACATTAAGCTCAAACTTTGTGCAGTTAATGGATATACTGAGCGCCGATGACTTAGGAGTAGTGGGTACTAGTGAGTCAGGAGTATCCTCTGACAAGTCCTGATGACTTAGGCTTCACTTTTTTGCCTACCTCCTACAAGTCCTGGGTCACTGGTGGGTAGTATAGTTGATCAACTCTCTCTCTCCTCAATGATGAGCGTGACTTTCATTCATAGAACCCGGTGGTGTTCTCAGACCGGTCCTTTTCTGACCATACTGTATCGTACCGGTCTCCGAAGCGGTGACAGCTTGACTGGTTGCTGTGAAGCTGACCAAGCAAGGCTTGAAGGAATGGATGCAACGCAATCAACATAGAGGAAGGACACATGTGAACATTGAACAGCGTTGGATATTCTTGGATATTCGGTGAAGGTCAAGTGCAAACAGTTTCCGTGTTAAGTATAACGATTGCTTAGTAAGCGCAGTACATCAGTACATGTACAAATATGTCTCTATATAATTGTATATAGTTGATCCTGGGAGCCTCAATCATTCAGCTCCGCAACTCTGATCGAACGCAGTGTTCTTTTCCACGCAGTTCTTTTTTGAACCCTCGGCTGCCTGTTTACAGGCGCTGGGCCTGGCGTAGCACTCAAAGTTCAGTGTGAATAAACTTCCCATTCACCCACTTCGCTTTCAATGCGCTCTCGCCGTTCTTCTCAGCTATCCTCAGCGTGAAAAGTCTCAGCAAACATATCGGTGCAGTTCGACGAAGCGACGCGCGACATGAATAGGTGTCATGAGCTAGTGCTCCCAACTGTGCAACAAGAAGATCTCCTGGAGCTCCTTCTACCTTTTGAAGTCGATGTCCCAGAACTCAGCTGAAAGCCTGGTTCAAACAAACCCCTCGGTGATTCTACGTATCATCTTAGAATGAAGAAATGAAGTGATGAAGGTCACATGGAAAATAAGTGGCCCAATCCCTGCTTCAGGCCTTACGGAGAAGCAAGTTTTGAGGTCAATTTCTTGGAACTCCGATCCTCAGCATCCTCAATGCCATTCAATGCCCTGGGATCGTTCTGAGCACCCCTTGCGCTTTCATCTCTTTGAGGAGATGGACCATTGTAGCATACCTGAGAATCGGACGCCCTACGATTTGGGCGGCATTTGATCTGGGAATGGGCTTATTCAATGTTCAACTTTAAGCAAACAATGTATAATATCATCAACGATCTTGAATGTGTCATGAGCATCCATGAAGCTCATGGAATGTATGCAATGATGATCAGCACTTCCAACTGCAATTTTTGCAGATGTTTAACTCTGCGACAATCCGTTGCGGCTTGTAAACTTGCCCCGCCCGCGCGCCTCATCTGCCCTTTTGGCGTCGATGTAATGCCTGAATCAAGGCCCGGCGTGTGTGGCCACCAAAACCAAAAGACACAATCATCCAATTCCCTCCTTCAGGCTGGGTTGAGCTTGACCCAGCGCTGACATCAGTTGAAAGACCCACTGAATGTCCGGTGTGGTAAAATCGCTGCATGAATCACAAAAGGAACATCGCTGGCACCTCGGGCGATTTCTTTCTCCCAAAAGGTGATGTCGTTGCTGATCTGGATGGCCAGGCGAGTCGATGACACCAACTCCGGAGACTAAAAACTGAAGATGCACTATATACGGTAATCGGTGCTGGGATGCTACATCCAAACTTGTTTGCAGGCCAGACATCTTACTAACTGTCAGCATCGTAAACTAATTAGCCATTGTTTAGCCGCTTAGCCATTGTGTGTTGACTCATTCTTCCGAACTCACTTGCAAACGCGGCAGTTTTCTTCAAAACTTGTTGATGACAAGCACTAATGGTTTCCTTCATGTGTATATTAGGAAGTCAACATATCCCACCATAGCAGGATACTGTTCCAACTCGTCTGTCGCCTCCCCAAACACCTTCAAAATGAACTGATGGAATTCCCCAAAGACCTTCAGACCACTGAGAGTGTGACCTTCTGCAAGCTAAGGCTCGCAGAGTTGATAAACCTGAGATCGGCTGGGAGTCACAGCCACAGCTGGGAGTCCTAGAGGTCTGAAACAGCTGCATCGATCGGAAGGGAAGGTCCTTTCCACAGAAAGGGGCATTCTAAGAGTCACAAACATGAGACTAATTATATACTTGAGTTGGGTTCTTGAGCAACATGTTTTATGCATGAGATCGCTGTGCACAAGCTCCGGTGCTTCAACATGCTTCATCTTTAGGTTCTTTGTTTTAGGTGGCTGATCTGCCCTGAGGCAGCTTGTGCAATGAAAGCCATTCATTTCAAAGCTCGCAGGCGTTGTTGAACTTGAAACCGCTTATGAACCTTGACACCTACAAGTCGCAGAATCCTGAGCAGCCATACAATCATGAAAGAGTCACACTCGGCAGTCCTTTAGACTAGAGCCGTTCCCTTAGAAGAGCCAACGCGAAAATAAACTGGCCCCGAGGCTTAATTCGCCCCTCCTCTGGGTGTCCAACGTTCTCTCGAAGCCATTGCATTTCGTGAAGGCATAAAGGGAACACGCCGACTCAGGAGCCTCCACCTCCTGAGCCAAGGGAATGCACAAAGCGGCGGTATTGGGGTCATCGAAGTGAAAACTTGGGCGCCACACAGGTGTCGATCTGCAGGTGTCGATCAGAAGCTCTAAGTCAATCGCAACACAAAACAGAACCGAACTGTCTGAATACCATGAAGCAGAACCAATTCAGCACTTGGCTTCATGAAGACTCTGCCAAACGGCAGCTTTGCCAGAGCTTATCTACTGTCAAGAGGCTTTGTCTATAAATAACATCGCGCGGTGTGTGTGTGTGTGTGTGTTTAATTGTTTTTAAAAAATGGCTTTGGTACATAAACTTTGGCATCCAAATCATTGGGACAGAAAGTTCCAGCATGATTCCGTATGAACAACCGCGCCAGCCAGACTTTTATGCAAAAAAATCCAAAACCACACCCAAAAATCCAAAACCCTCAATCCAATACGTTGACATTGGTTGGGAGTCCGCTTGTTCGGCTGAGGGCCTGTAGGTCAGTCTGATGCTAGTCTTGCTCCAGGACTCTTCTTCATGACACGTCAAGCTGGCGTAATTACATGGGTCTAAGCGTACGACAATCCTTGAGATACGACCAACATGGTCCAAAAGTCCAGGCAACTGGCTCCCAAAGACATGACACAAAATGCAAAGCCCAAGGTTCTACTCTGTAATCTTGGCGTGAGCGTCCGCCCTGCAAGGAGCGTCGACTGTTGCAAAAGCCTCTTAAAAGCTCCAACCGCTCTCCACAGGCAGTGGCCTTTGATAGTCTTGGATGTGTCCTCGGGGTCCCTTTTGACCCCCCTTTGTGATGTACGATTCCATGTGCGATGTCGGTCGTCACATGTCAGGCTGCCCACCGCCGCCTTGGCGGCGGCTCGGCGCTTGGCTGCGATCTCATCAGCCCACCGCCTGTGTGAGGCATCAGATCAAATCCGGAGTTGGACGCGATTCTTTCCAATCTGGCAAATCTCAAGTATGCAAGTCTTGTGCACACATGTGGTCGGACCATCCTCAATGAATTCTGATCCGAAGAGCCCTACAAATAGTAGGTATCCTTGTGCAAGCGGGTGGACAACAACTGACACACCCAAAAAAAACTCGCTGGTGCGTCAGTCTCGGGTCTCGGGTCCTCAGAGGTTGATGTTCAAACCACTCGCAGTAAGGTCAGTGAGATTCGGTGAGTATACACTCCTGTACGCAAGCGACAGGCAATGCGTCTCCCACACATGTGTGCGTACGGGTGCGCCATAGGGAGAACCGCACAGACCGCTAACCAGAAGGACGGACATAACGATGACTCCACGTGACTCATCGCGACTGAGCCCGTTGAAACCGCGGGGTCAACGTGACTTACATGTTACATGACTTTAAAAAGAAGTGTAGTAGCGATGGCCCCCAACCTAGCAGCTCCAACCTAGCAGCGATGGCCTCCAACCTGGCAGCGATGGTCTCCAACCTAGCAGCGATGGCCTCCAACCTGGCAGCAATGGCCTCCAATCTGGCAGCGATGGCCTCCAACCTAGCAGCGATGGCCTCCAACCTGGC